ATCTTATAATATTTCACTTTTTATATTTCTCAAAATGGTTTCTTTTGTTTCCAGTAACAGCCATCTTCTTTCTTTCTTCTAATACTAGTCACTCCGTTTACTAGCTGTATGACATTGGAAATTAATTTAATCTCTTTGTGCTTCAATTCTTTCATCTTTAAAATAAGCACAAAACTTATTCTATTCATACATAACTTAGTTCTTGTTCCTTACTAATAGTTAAATAACCAATATTATTATTATTTATTTCAATTATGAAGTTCATAGAATATTAGACTTCTCTTGTTTTTGTGTATCTATGTGCACCAGTGAGGACTAATTAATAGATAATAAATATCGTGAGATAGTGAATATAATGTGATTGCTAAGAAATCAGTCACAGGATCTTTTGATTGTTTCTTTTTCCAAGCTTCTCAGTTGGCCCCACATTACATCCTGTACTTTAGGTATTTTTAAAAAATGTTGATTCATCCAAGTTATGAAATTAGAAAATATATGGAAAAGTAGTGGTGGTGAGAAGCACTAAAAATATCTTAATCACTAAATACCAAAATCAAATCAGTAGCTACCCAACTCATACTTGTAATTTACATTTTTTTAAACACAGTTAGGTTTTTCACATTCAGAATCTAAACATTAATATATACTTGTAATTAATTATTTGTCAGCCAAGTTGTCAAATGAAGCAATTCTTCTTTAATATTGTCTCTAATATTAAGCCAATAATTATAGACTTATCCCCAAAACCAAAGTAAGCATATTAAAAAGAGTTCAATGATCCAGAAATATCTCCCTACTTGCAATTGTTCTCACATTTTCAAAGAAAACAAACCTATTTCGAGAATACATTTTCTTTGATCCAAATTTGATCATGCATATTACAGCTTAAAATTTTAAGTGATTCTCCACAGTCTTACGTTATTTTCTCCAAGTGCCATCAAGTTGGCTCCAACTGATATTAACTTTATGTAAAACAGATCAAAATGTTACCTCACTATACTGTTTTTACAATCATGGTTATGTTTGAACATACTGTTGCAGTCACTGTGTCAATACATCTTATTGAAAGTCTTCCTTTCCCCCACTCACTAACTCTGCTTGAACAAGCAAGATGTCCTTGTCTGAGAACTGGTCCCTCCTGATAGCATAACCACTCTTCACTTCAGGAGTACTCACAAAGTGTACTCAATATTATTTGTCAAAACCATAATTCAAATATGCCACTTCTTCACTGTTATTTTGTAATTATCATGCAGAAGTCATAACAAATAAGGTGACTATCAATATTATGCCATGAGTCAAACACAGCTTGTCCCCAAGGTGACACCATTGCTTTTGAACAATTTAAAGAGGTCTTTTGCAACAGATTTGCTCAGTGCAATACATTGGTTTCTCAGCTGCTGCTTCCACAGATGCTATGAACTAAAGTAAAATTAAATCTTTGACATTTCCAATATTTTTTCCATTTATCTTGCTGTTGTTTACAATCTAGTGAGGGGTTTTGCTTTCTTTATGCTAAGGTATAATCTGTACTGAAGGTTGTAATAAATGTAATTATATCAGTAAGGACTGCAAGTTCTCTTTACTTTCAACAAAGTTTTGTTATCTATGCACTGTAACTTGTTAATAAGCTTTCCATCCATCCTGGTGCAACGTTCTTCTTCATATCACCCTGCTCCCTAGATTTCTGCATATAGATTGAATATACTTTTCAATAACTTTCTAAGCATGGTTTTAATACTTGAATAAGACAAAATAAACAACATGTAGGGTTCACAATGCCTTTGGTCTACTGTTGCAGACTGAAGGTAAAGTAATTTTATAATTATTAATAATGAGACAAACAGCCAGGAATGAGATAGAGCAGAGAACACAAAACAGGGGGCCAGCAGTTCCCTGACTGAAGACCCCAAGTCATGTTTCTCTGTGTATTTATTGATAATCTGGGGAAGCAAACAACAAAAGGAATTCCTTGTAAATGAAGGCGAATTTTTCTCTATTCTCAACCTAATGCTCTAGCTCAGGAAGTATTTCCCAGGAAGTAACACTCCCTCTGTAAGGGTGCGCCAGATGTCTCCTGTCTGCAGGGAACAAACAGCTCATTTTCTGGGATCTGACACAAGAGAAATCCTAATTTATAAATATGTAATCCTTCAGTTCCTGAACAAGGGTTTTCATACAATATTTGGTATAAAGTTTGGCTTCCCTATAGTTTGTCTACTATAATTAATTTTGTAGTCTCAATACATTTTAACATAGCTTTAGCCCTATATTATTTGTTAGATTCTCTTATTATAAATTATCAGTGTTTTAAATAGTCATTGAATTATCTTGGAAGTGAGATTTCCAGAGATAACATGATTCCTGTGAAATAATATTATTTTACTATCTGCAAGCTTTATTCTCCAAAGAGAAATCTGAATTTAGAGTTTAAAAAAAAGACACTTAAAAATATTTTAATAAAAATGCAAAATTTCAAAGGTAAATAGTGTGAATAGTTGTATTTTTCCCACATAAAAGAATATATTACAAAGATTTCTAAGAATATTGTTTATTTAAGTGCAAATAAATGTAAGTGTTAAATTTATACATGTATAAAAATGTCTTGGAAGCAGAAGCAGCATCTATAACTAGCTATAGGTCAATGCTAGCATCTACCTCTGGAAACTATGACTTTTGTGAAATGTTGATAGTTATATAAAGGCTACAAGGCTTTTGTTCATAGTCTCTATGAGTTGTGAACAATTCGATGGCAATCAACAACAACAAAACATATAAATGTCTTACATATACACATGTGCATGCTCATACACATAACCCCCACACTTGTTTCTTTTTTACCACAATAACCCTATAAAGTATGAATTAACTTTTATAATTAAATATTAGAAAAGAGAAATTCAGAAGGCAAGAGGTTGTAGCTCTCCCAAGTCCACTCTACAATAACTTTAGATGTAAAGATTTAAATAATATCAGATTTATACTGCTATATCAGTGCTCTCAAATATACTTCTCTTACACAAAAATATGTATAATTATTGAAATAAATCTTTTAAAATAATTTTTAAATTGCTTACTTTATGTGTTTACTCCAAAATATTCAATTCACTCTATCCTATGGAGAGGTGACAAAGCAAGATGAGCTTTTTCTTTTCTATCTTTCTCCTCTCAAAGTTATCTGTATTTACCTGATGTGGGCTGCAGTCAATTGGTTTGTATAGTATGTAATTTAGACATGACCTGTAGCTTGGATACTGGTTTGTTCCCTAGGTTTCTTCTCAGTTCTCTAACTTATCAACCAAGCTCTCCCTAATTCCTAAATGGTCAAATTCAATAAACCAACTTCTATTTATGAATAAACAGGTCCATAGGGAACCTACCCATGAGTTTTAAGGCCATTACCACCTTGGTCTCATTCTTATATGTTAACCTTTGAGATTCAGAATAATTAGTAGTTCCAATCACTATCATATCCAGGAAAGAATAACCAGAGGGACTGAAAGGCAGGACACTTTCAGAAGCAATAAGAAAAATATTCTTATCAAAATATAAACTTTGGCAAAAAAGTTACATAAATCATCTTCAGAAGGAAAAATTAATTCTCAGGAGTTGCCAAGATTGTATGTCATACATCATGAAATACCTAAAATTTTCTTGTTGTTGTTGTTGTTATGTCCCATCGAGTCATTTGCGACTCATAGAGACCCTATGTACAACCGCCCTAAACTGTGCTCTATCCTGTGCCAATCTCATTGCCTCTGACACACCCATCCCGATTACCCCAGTCACTGAATCAGTCCACTTCATAGAGGGTCTTCCCCTCCT